ATAAGTAGGGGCTAGAGTTGTGGTGCAGCAAGTTAAGCCACTATTACTATGCCAGCATCCCATATGGGCGCCCAGATGCCTTGTTCGAGTCCCGGCTGCTGCACTTTTTTTTTTTTTAAGTTTTTAAGGATTTTTATTCAATGAGAGAAATTTGCAGGAGAGTGAGGGCTTTATTTAGGGGAGAAAGAGAAGTCTAGAAACCAAGTTGGGTCCATACCAGGCACAGAGCAGGCCGGGTGCCACGTGGAACAAGCATGCAGGCAGGAAATCAGAGTTGCCTGGCCAGGATGGCGTGGGACAACAATGGCAACAAGTGAAGCAAGGGCAATAAGGGCAATAAGGGAGGGGCCTACCATGTTCCAGGCCTTTTATTCACTCCCAAAGGGGGTCGGTTATGTAGTCTGATTAGCAGGTGGGCATGGGGGGGGTCAGGTTAGGGGCATGAGATCACACAGGGGGCATGGTTGAGGGTGTGGTCTCCAGCTTACAAATCTAATCAATGTATCCTATCTGCCTGCCTACATCACTCTCCCCTCTGAGAGATTCCAGCCCTTAATCCTAAGGGCTGTTGAAGGGCATAGAATCATCATATCTTCTCTAGCTGCTTTCTGCTTATTAGGGGCATAGCACAGGCCCTGCCTGTCCCGGATCTGAAGTCTCTGCCTATCTCATCTAACAAATTCGCTTTCTGAGCTGGAGCACTTTCAGTCGCCGCCAATGGCTGTGTTCCACTTCTGATCCAACTCTCTGCTAATGTGCCTGGGAAAGCAGTAAAGGATGGCCCAAGTACTTGGGCCTCTGCACCCACATGGAAGACCTGGATGAAGCTCCTGGCTCCTGGCTCCGGCCTGGCCCAGCCCCAGGCTGTTATGGCCATTTGGAGAGTGAGCCAGCAGGTGAAAGATCTCTTTCCCTGTTTCTCCCTCACTGTTTGTCACTCTGCCTTTCAAATATATATCTTTTCATAAAGACAGAATGACAAAGAGAGAGAGGGAGGGAGAAACAAAGGGAAGGAGATCTTTCATTTGCTGGCTCACTCCCCAAATGACCACAACACCCAGGGCTGGGCTAGGCCAAAACCAGGAGTCCAGAACTCCATCCGGGTCTGCCATATGGGTGCAGGGGCCCAAGCACTTGTGCCATCTTCTGCTGCCTTCCCAGGCATATTAGCAGGGGGCTGGATTGTAAGTGCAGAGTATCTAGGACTCAAACCTGTGCTTTGATATGGGACACCAGCATAGCAGGTGGCAGCTCAACCTGCCATGCCACAATGCCAGCCTCTATTTGTGTTTTTTGAGGAACTTCAATACTGTTCTCCATAATGGCTGTACTAATTTATATTCCCACCAACAGTGTACAAGTTTCCTTCTCTACACATCCTCGCTAGCTTTTGTTATTTTTTGGATTTTTTTATTTTATTTTTTATTTTTTGACAGGCAGAGTGGACAATGAGAGAGACAGACAGAGAGAAAGGTCTTCCTTTTGCCGTTGGTTCACCCTCCAATGGCCGCCGCGGCTGGCGCGCTGCAGCCTGCACACCGCGCTGATCCGATGGCAGGAGCCAGGTGCTTCTCCTGGTCTCCCATGGGGTGCAGGGCCCAACCACTTGGGCCATCCTCCACTGTACTCCCGGGCCACAGCAGAGAGCTGGCCTGGAAGAGGGGCAACCGGGACAGAATCCGGTGCCCCGACCGGGACTAGAACCCGGTGTGCTGACGCCGCAAGGCGGAGGATTAGCCTACCGAGCCGCGGCGCCTGCCCAAAATTTATTTATTTGAAAGGGAGAGAGAGAAAGAGAGAAAGAAGAGAGAGAGGGAGAGAGGGAATATCTTTCATCTGGTGATTAACTCCCTAAATGGCTGCAAGAGCCAGAGCTGGCTCAGGCCAAAGCCAGGAGCCCAAAACTCCATCCAGGTCTCCCTTGTGGGTGGCAGGGCCCCAAGTACTTGAGCCCATTATCTGCTGCATGCCAGGATGTACATTAGCAGGAAGCTGGATCCAAAGCGGAGTGAGGACTAAAAGTTAGGTACTCGGATATGGGATGTGGGGTGTCCCAAGTAGCAGCTTAGCTGCTGTGTCACTTGGCCCACCCCATGATGATTTTTAAAAATTTTTATTTATTTGAAAGGTAGAGTGACAGAAAGACAGGGACAGGCAGAGAGAAAGAGAGATCTTCCATCTACTTGTTTACTCCCCAGATGTCCTCAGCAGCCAGGGCTGGGCCAAGTTGAAGCCAGAAACCAGGAACTCCCTCCTTGTTCCCCACATGGGTGGTAGGGGCTCAAGCACTTCAGCCATCATCTGCTGTCTTCCCAGGCACATTTTTGGGAAGCTGGATCAGAAGTTGAGTGGCCAGGACTTGAACTGGCATTCTGATATGCCATGCTAGCATTGCAAGCCACAGATTAACATGCTGCACATGATTTTTATACTTTTACGATGATTTTTATACTTTTGTGTTTTTTCCAACTTTTCCCCTGAAAAAGCATGTACTACTTTGTAAGTAGAAAAAGCCATGAAAGTTATATTTTTTACCAGCGCTGTGGCACAGTAGGGTAATCCTCTCTGCCTGCGATGCTAGCATCCCATATGGGCACCATTTGGAGTCCTGGCTGCTCCTCTTCCGATCCAGCTCTCTGCTATGGCCTGGGAAACTAGTAGAAGATGACCCAAGCTCTTGGACCCCTGCACCCACGTGGGAGACCCAGAAGAGGCTCCTGGCTCCCAGCTTCAGATGGGCCCAGCTCCAGCCATTGTGGCCATTTGGGGAGTGAACCAACAGATGGAAGACCTTTTTCTGTATCTCCCTGTTACTGTCTATAACTCTACCTCTCAGCTAAATAAATTTAAAAATATTTTTTAAAAAAATCCATGAAAGTTATTTAAAAAATCAATGGGCCCTCATCACCTACAGATTAAAGCATACATTTCTTTTTTAAAAGATTTTAAATTTTTTTAAAATTATATATTTGAAAATCAGAGTTATAGGGACAGAGAGAGAGAAAGAGGGAGGGAGAGACCCAGCTCTTCCATCTACTGGTTCACTTCCCATATGGCCATATCAGCCAGCGCTGAGCCAGGCCAAAGCCAGGAGCTGCATTCAGGTCTGCCATGTGGGTGGCAGGGACCTATTACACTTGGCCACCTTATATTGTTTTTCCTAGGCCATTAGCAGGGAGCTGGATTGGAAGTGGAGCAGCTGGGATACAAACCAGCACCCACATGGGATGTCGGCATCGCAGGCAGCAGCTTTACCTGCTATGCCACGACCACAACACTGACCCCTAAAACATAAACTTTTAAGCATGGCACAGGTCCTATTTGACCCATGACTATCTCTGTAAGCCTAACTGCCTTTCACTCAACCTCCCCACCTGCAGGGGCCCAAGTACTTGGGCCACCTTCCACTCTTTTCCCAGGCTATAGCAGAGCTAGATGTGGAGTAGCCAGTACTCGAACTGGCACCCATATGGGATGGCAGCACTGCAGGCAGCAGCTTTACCCACTATGCTACAGCACCGGCCTCCCTCCCTGACTTCTTTTCAGCCATGACAAACTGCCTAAAACAGACTGGATCCTGGGTACTCTGATAAGGCACTGTGTGCCACAAGACCTGCTCCAAGTCGCTGCTGCTTGATTAGGACAGATACGTACATAGAAGATAGAAATGCGAGAGAGTGGTCATATTCGCTACCTCTGGGTGTGATGAGTGGAGGGGGAGACTATATAGTGTTGGGTATTGTTCCCCCCCATGAGCAAGTATTAGTTTTCTTTTTTCATAGCATAGGTGTTATTTTTTTTTTTTCAAAAAGTTTGGGAACCATTGGTCTAGATATGTCCAATATGTTAGCATCTAGCCATATATGACTATTTAAATTTAAGCTAATTAACATGAATTAGCATTTAAAAATTCAGTTTTTCAGTCACATTAGCCACAAACAAGTGGCTAGTAGCTACTATATTGAACAGAGCAGAGATAGAACCTTTTCCATCATTGCATAAATTTCTTTTGGACAGTGCAAGTCTAGATAAATGTGTCCCCAAATAAGATAGTGCCATTTGGGATATACTGGAATTCTGAGTGTGAATTAGTTAACTAGTGGGAATTAACTACAAACACCTATCAGTTGAACCTTGCAATCCTTGGTTAAGCACAGCAGTTGGGCATTACTTAAACAATGAAGGTGATTATCTGATAGGACTCCAGTGGAATCAGTCTGATCTGGAGGCCTACACTATATCCATGGCAATGAAGCCACCTGTTGAATCTCTCTGTAAATCACAGGAACAATCGTGGTGTTTGGACTGCTAGGTTTCCTGGTTACTATGGAAATGAGTGTGCTGGTTACAGTTCTGTGCCATCAGCCAGAGAGTAAGGTGTCAGGCCTCCTTTCCCTCCCCTTTCTATAACCATGACCATAGAGATGCTTATTTCAGTTGCACCTTCAGAGTAGTTCTGACTGCAGGAGAAGCAACTAGAAACCTGATTAAGTACGAGGCGTCGGGATCAAAGCATTACGAGGAAGTGTGCAAAAGGAAACATGGCGGGGTATTTTTTCATTAGGAAAACGCTAGACTACTACACCGAATACAATGACATTGTTAACTCTTGCTTCTTGCACAGGCGCAGTGAGGAATTCTCAGCGCACGCCTACGCGTGTATTTTCTCCCCTTTTCTCCTCTCTTTGCACTTTCCTCTCTCTCCCTTTTTCTCCCCTCCTTTCCCACCCCCCACCCCTTGGTCTTTCAGTCTTTCGGGTAGTCCGTTTATGTCTCTGCTTCCGACCACCCCCCCACACCCTCTTTCCCCTCCCCCCTTCCTTTTCCGTCTCGCGCACGGCCGTTCGCGCGTGCGCATTAAGTACAAAGCCTCGCTCTTTGTCCCCATCTGTCGTTCACACGAATCAAGTCTTTGGCATTCGGCAGCCAATAGAATCTAAGAAATGGCGGAAAAACGAGTCCGCCTCTGGAGATAAACCTTGATTGGCAATTCAGATAGCCAATGGGGAACGCCACTTCATACTCCTTGGGAGGCACCGAGCTCCGTCGTCTCGTTTCCGGCGGTCGCGCGCTCTTTTCTCGGGACGGTAGAGGCCGTGTAGCGTCTCCGTTACTCTGAGGAAAGAACCGTCGGTAGAGGGTGAGTTTGAGGACGAGTTCGTTCTTGTTTGGGGGAGGAGGGGATTTCTGGGAACGACTGGCGGAGGAAAAGGCTAGGGTGGGGGTGGGTTTGGCGGGAGGATGGCGCTTTCAAGGCCCCGTGAGGCCTTGTCCCCGCCGCCTCACGGCCTGTTTTTGCCCACCCGCGGGGACCCAGCGCTCCCAACTCGCTTCGGGCTTTGAACGGGTCGCCAGTTTTCTCACCCCCTCAGTTTCTTTGTGCGACTCCAGTCCGAATCGCGGCGGTGTTAAGTTGCCAGCCTTCGGACCGCCCTGGGCCCGAGGGTGTGGGGTCTATTATGCGAGAGCCTTGAAGCCCTGGTTGGAGGAGGAGGCGCTTTGTCGGGCGCTCCTCCTCTTGGCCCCGCGAGGCCATTAATTCAGAATGGGCAAGCGGGGGCCCCTTGAGCGTTGTTTCTTTGTCGAAACTCTTAGCTAGGAAGTTGCTGTGCTAGTCTAGACCCCAGCGCTTTCGTAGCCGGCATCTTGGGTGCCCTTCCTCCCTCCCCCTCCCGCAGTCGTGCTCCCCAAGCCAATTTTAAAGCATCACTTTTCTAAATGGAACTTAAAATTTAGGGGTTGTCTTTCAAGTGTTTTCTACTTTGGGAAACTCTTAGCGCAAACTGACATCCCTCTTTGTATTTTTAACAGAGAATTGGAGGTTAGGACTGGGAGGTACTTGGCCATCCTCAAAAGTTGAGGTAGGTGTAGAGGTTTGGGTTGCCAGATAAAAATGCAGGGCACCCAGTTGAATTAGAATTTCACATAGACAGTACTTTTTTTTTTTAATATACAATGCATGACTTATAGTATTTGTATTTGAAATTCAAATTTCACTGCGTTGTGTCTTTGCTGAATCAGGCAACTCTAGTTAAGGGGCCACTGTCTGGGTTTTCCTGTATCTTTCCCCCAACTTCCTTGTTATTTACATGGAAGGTTCTAAGAAATTCCTAGAGTAAAGAAAGAACCTCACCATGTCTGTTTCATTTTACAGCTTTCAGGCGGCCATCTCGGTCTGGTAAATTTATATTGGATTTCCCTTGTAGTTTACACTTAAAATTTGGCCCTCTTGCTGCAAATCGAGGGAATGTTTATTTAGATTTTAAGTATGTAGAATGTAGTGTTTGCTCCTGTACTTAAACATTCGTTCAATGGCATCATGCCCAAAAGATATATTCCTTCTAAGCCTGCAATGCAAATTTTCTGGTAAAGTCTTTCGTCACGGTTCATCTTGAGGACAGTGACAGAAATCCTTGCTGCTGATCTTTGTGCTTTCTTTTCAGAGAAAACCCAGTAGTTAGAGGACAATGAATTTATTACATTTTTCACGTGTTTCCAAAATAAATTGGTCCTTAAATGTAGGTGATAAGAAATTTTGCTTGAATACTTGCTACTTTGTGGGCACTGTTTTATATAATATTAATTAGTCTTGAGTAAATGCCTACTTGGCAAAGGAGAGGTGGAAAGGAAGGATTATAAAGATTAGTATTGTGAGGACAGTTATTTAAAAACACAAAGGTAGGCAATTTTGTTATTTTAAAAATTATCTTTGTTAGACTCCTGAAGAGTAAAAAGTGTAATTGATGATATTTGCTTAACTGGAGCTTCTACCATCTGTAGAAATGTGGTTGCCTTCAGAGACAAGTGCTTGCTTTGTTCCAATGAGAGCAACCTTCTTTGTACATTATCACATTTAGGCCTGAAAATAGCCAGCCCTGAGGGGTGGGCGTTAGTGTTTTCATCCTGCAGGTAAGAAAAGTGAAGCTCAGAAGTTAGGTCATGGGACTAGTGAAGTTTAAACTGAAGTCATGCAATATTAGCATAGTGATGAGGATAGAGTTCAGCAGACCCGGGTTCCACTCCATGTTGCATCAGTTGTGTGACCTTGGATAGGTAAAGCTCTTTTCTAGGCATCAGTTTCCTTATCTAGCAGTGTAAGGGTTGCAAGCCCTAAGACATAATGCAGGCTTAGCATAGTGCCTGGCTTTAATGGTTTACAAATAATCTGGTATTAATAACTACCAGTCTATATTTTCTAAAACCAAAAGATAATCTTCCTTGCAATATTAAATGGTTTAGAACATTGACCATTTTTTCATCCCCTAGGAGGTAGATTATTTCTACTAGGAAGTGATAAAATGATTGAAACAGGGTTTTCAATGTTGAAATTTTGAATGGACCACTATAAAGATTTCTATTAACATTAAATGTATATTGTGGATTCCTGAATGTTAAGCTACTGAGTCTGGAGCCACTGTCTCCTAAGTTAAAGGCTAGAGAGGGGGGAAAAATCACTTGGATTCTAACCTGAGGCAAGAACTAGTGGGAGAAATGGCTGTGAAAATAATTCAGGTTTTTGCCATTGGTCACTTTGGAACCAGAAAGAGAGGTGTTTAGTACCTGAGACCCAAATGAGAAAAGATAGAATTCTGATGCTCACGTTACCCTATTGCCAGGTGTTCCAGGGCCGGACTTCGGATTTTTATATTTTAATTTCTTATTTTTAAAACCATGATTTCCTTTTTAAAGGTATCCCGTTTACTGCTATACCTGTTTATGGTATTTAAAATTGACTTTTTGAGAAAACAGTGCTGCACTATGTGGCAAGAGTTACAAAGATGGATTCTATTTTGAGGATTTGTCCTAAGGAAATAAAAGAAGGCAAAAAGCAAGAAGACATTTACTGTAGCATTATAGGAAAAAGCTGAAAACAACCTAAGTGTTTAATGGAGAGTAGTTTAGTAAATTAGTGTACATCCAGATGGACTTTATGTAGTCATTAAAAATTATATTGACACTACAGAAATGAGGAAAAGCTGAACATACAATGGTGCATTACGCTTTCACTTACTGAAATGATCATGTATATCTTGGAAGGTAAATAAGGAAAAATTGGAATTGTGAATACCCAAAGATTTAACTTTGAGCTTGGATTATAATGGTGAAAAATTAGAAAACAACCCAAGTGTTTCAACATAATATGGGCTTGGTTGACAGCTGAGTGCTGTAACCATTAACTGTTAATATAAAAGATTTAATGACATGAAAGCAGTTCATGATAATATTGTAAAGAAGAAAAGGGTTACAAGTTAATTTTGGTAATATTCCATTTTCAATAAATACAAATATGTTGTGATTAGGTATACCAGTATGAGTAACTTTTATTGATTGCTGTATGGGTGTTTATTTTGGTTCTGAGTTTTCTATATTAAATATATACTTGTCATAAGTACTTTATTGTGATTTCTTATGTTTTGTAACTTTAATGAGAAATATAAGATTGATTATATGAATGAGAAAATTCAAGTTTTGGCTTAATTGTAAACTTTTCCGTGAGGTTTATCATAAAGCTTTATTTAATATTGTGGTCTGCTGCCTCCTGCTCCCCGTCCATTTAATTGCTCCACCCCATTTTTCTTTATTTCCCCATTACACTTATTTACTACTATATAATTATGTATACGTTATCTTTTACTAGAAGGTAAACTCTGAAGGCAAGAATCTACTGTGTTAACTGATCTGCCCAAGCACCTAGAATGATGTCTAAAATAGTAGGTGTTTGTTGAATGAATTTGTAGTGTGAGAGATTATCAATAACCTGCAGTCAAGACAGTGTGTTGGGGCTGGCACCATGGCCCACTTGGTTAATCCTCCACCTGCGGTGCCAGCATCCCATATGGGCCCCGGGTTCTAGTCCCGGTTGCTCCTCTTCCAGTCCAGTTCTCTGCTGTGGCCCAGGAAGGCAGTGGAGGAAGGCCCAAGTGCTTGGGCCCTGCACCTGCATGGGAGACCAGGAGAAAGCACCTGGCTCCTGGCTTTGGATTGGCGTAACGCCGGCCGTAGTGGCCATTTGGGGAGTGAACCAACAGAAGGAAGACCTTTCTTTCTCTCTGTCTCTCTCTCACTGTCTATGACTCTACCTGTCAAATAATAATAAAAAAAAAAGACAGTGTGTTTTTGTCTATCTTCTATTCCTTGTATACATTCATATTTAAAATAAAACCTTTCCCTTTTAAGAGCACCAAGCATATTTTTCATGTTTACGTGATCTTAATAATTTTTAATGCTTTGATATAATATTCTATTGTATTTAGATGTTTACATCATTTTTGTTGTTTTGTTACCATAAAGGCCATTAGCGAATATTTTCATGGCCATAGTATTTTAAGAGAGAAAGAGATCTTCCATCCACTGGCTCACTCCCCAAATGGCTATGATGGCCAGGACTGGGCCAGGCTGAACTCAGGAGCCTGGAACTCCACCTGGGTCTCACAAGGGTGGCATGGGCCATAGTCTACTGCGTTCTCTGGTTAGATAGCAGGTTGCTGAATAGGAAGCAGAGCAGCTGGGACTTGAACCTGCACTTTGGTAAGGGATGCAGGCACAGATGTTGCAAGTGGTGGCTTAACCTGTGTGACAATGTTTGCCCCCACCTAGTGTCTTATGAAAGCATTTTTGGATATAGAATTTGATAATTTTGCATTGATGTTTTCAGTTTGAGTTGGATATGATATAAAATGTATTCTGAAAGGTTTTATATGCATAAAGATACTCAAGTGCCCATCATCCAAAATCATCAGTTGTCAAGTCTTTGTCATGTTTTCTTCATCTGAGAAATCTGATTTTCTCTATCTTAAAGGCATCATATAATGTTAATGATAAAGTATTTATGAAAAGATTTTCTGCATATTTCAGCTAAATTCATTCAAGAGGGTCTAGTCTTTTAGGGTAAACATTGAGCATTGTCTTTATCATTTTAAATTCAGTCTGGATTGTGCCAGGAGTTTTCACTTTGTTTTCTTAAACTTATACAGATTTTTAAATGACAGATTTAAACATTTTATGATTATACATCTTTTTACATTTATTGCTTTTATTGATTTGATAGTCACTTCTCTTTCCATTGTGGTTAATATTCAGTAACTGTGTGCCAGTAGTTGAGCTAGTGCTTTCACATATTTATAAGTTCTCATACCTACCTTGGTTATTTTATCAGCCCCCCCCCCTTTTTTTTTTTTACAGCTAAGGACATAAGCACAGGAATAATTTAAGCAGTACATAGCTAGTGAATACTAGGGCCGTGATTCAACCTAAGTATGTCTAACCATATAGCCCATATTTTCCCACGGTCACTCCACAGTATCTACTGTGGGCTAGGACTGCTGGCATGCTAAAAAAAAAAAAACTTTCCATGTATATATAGTATTGAATTGAAAGGTCTTTTTTTTTTTTTGACAGGCAGAGTGGACAGTGAGAGAGACAGAAAGGTCTTCCCTCTGCTTTTGGTCCACCCTCCAATGGCTGCCGCAGCCGGCGCACCGCACTGATCCAAAGGCAGGAGCCAGGTGCTTCTCCTGGTCTCGCATGGGGTGCAGAGCCCAAGCACTTGGGCCATCCTCCACTGCACTCCCGGGCCACAGCAGAGAGCTGGCCTGGAAGAGGGGCAACCGGGACAGAATCCGGCTCCCCGACCGGGACTAGAACCCCGTGTGCCGGCACCGCAAGGTGGAGGATTAGCCTAGTGAGCTGCGGCGCTAGCTTGACTTGAAAGGTTTCTTAAGGCATTCTAGTATAAGCTGTTATCTAGCACTTGTCTAATTTCTGTATATGATGTAACTACTGGTACCTGCTTTTTAGATTTTTGAATTGTATTCTTTAGCCATGGTTGTTCAAGAGTAACCAGCCGTTGGGATCTGGCAAAAGCTAGGCTATCAAAGGTGATTAATGACATATAGGTCATCAAGAATGTGGTTAGTTTTTTTTTTTTTTCTTGCATTCTTAGCACTGAATGTATTTGACGGTATTATTTTTTATTTTCTTTTAAGTACAAAAATGCAGAGCAATAAAACTTTTAACTTGGAGAAGCAAAACCCATACTTCAAAGGAAAGCATCATTCAGCCATCATCCACCCAGCAGCACAACCAGGCAGCAGCAAGCAGCAGCCCACCCACCACCAACCAATTCCCTGCTAATGGGGCAACAGGCCCAGCAACCCAGAGTGAGTAGATGCTAGGTGATAGTGTAGAAAATAGTTTCCCTCTTGGGAATGGTTTCTTGGTTTTTAAATTAGTCTCTTGGGATTATAAAGGAATATGCCTTTATTGCGCACCTTTGTTCTTTTCCCTATTTACTTATGATGGGAAAAAGCTGATACCCTGATACCAGGGAACAGACATATATGACTACAGTTGAATACAGGTTACTGTGCTGTATTGGCATAGTCTATGTACTAGCCAGATGTCTACATGTTTTACTTCAACTTGCTTTGTAGAGGTAATTATCAAGTGGCTGGTAGTTAGAGAGACTGTAGAATAAGACTTTTAAGGCTTAGTGGAGAAATCTGGTACTGAATAGTATGCATTCAGTCTGAGGTCTGTCACCACATTTTAATCAGAGCAAAAAAGGTCTTTAAATATGTGTTCCCATTCAATAAATTTTGAATGCTATTGTGCCTCTTAACTAAAACTAGGACCAATTTCAACTGTCTCTCACAGTTCCTACTAGGATACTGTTTCCTAACTTGTTTTTGTTCTATTGCCTTGAGACTGAAAGAATGGGAACATAAGGGTAATGAAAATTGGTGAGAGATTAGGAAAATGGGGAGATGTTTTTAAATTTTAAAATCTGATCCCTTGTGACAGAGGTCTCCTTGAGTTGCTTAGTTTTCTCTTTGGCCACTAGCTTCTGTGTTGCTTGCCTCTCTTGGGCTTATTCCATCTTGGCTCCTGGCCCACAGTAGAGTCAAGTCCACCAGATCTCTGTGTACAGATTTCACATTTTAAGGAGCAATTTACTGATTAAGTGATTAGTGGATAGGTTGCATTGGGAAATGGTATTTGCCTTCTCTACAGCAATTATGTTTCCGAATCTAGTAGCAGTTCTAGCTCTTTGAGGATGGGACTGTAATTCTTTCCCTAATCTTTGAGTTACTATGTCTTCTCTTAGATGAAGGCTTGACCATTGACCTGAAGAATTTTAGGAAACCAGGAGAGAAGACCTTCACCCAGCGTAGCCGTCTCTTTGTGGGAAATCTTCCTCCTGACATCACCGAGGAGGAAATGAGGAAACTATTTGAGAAATATGGGAAGGCAGGCGAAGTCTTCATTCATAAGGATAAAGGCTTTGGCTTTATCCGCTTGGTGAGCAGCTGTGGGCCTTGGAAAGGGCATGTGCTCTAAGAGGTGGGAAGCTGGGGAATGATGGATATGGAAAAATAGACAATGGGAATAATTCTCATATAGTCTGTTAATAGCTTGCAGTTGGTGAAACAGGACAAAATAGTTTTATTTTTCATTATAGTTGATTTTTAAATTTTAAGGAAAATGGTTTGTGTTTTTTTGGTTTTTGTGGTGTGTGTGTGTGTTGTTGTTGTTGTTGTTTTGTTTTTTTTTTTTTTTTTTTTTGCCTAGGACTAAATATATCCTTTGGAACTCTTTTAATTTGGAAATTTCAAACAGATGTAAACAATAGTATAAATTAACTTGCACATATATGCATTGCCCAGCTTCAGCAATTAACAACTCATGGTTAATTTTTATCTGTGCCCTTCTTCTGTTTACTCATACATATTTTATTGTGTTGGTTTCTTTGTTTCAGAAAAAGTGGAAATTCGTATGTTAACAATGACCAAAGCTTATGTGATTAATTTCCAAAGCCTTTACACAATCTTCAATATATGAGAATATAATTCTATTTGTATCTTTAAAATTTTTTAAAGATTTATTTTTATTTATTTGAAAGAGTTACACAGAGAGAGAAGGAAAGGCAGAGAGAAAGGTCTTCCATCCACTGGTTCACTCCCCAGTTGGCCGCAGTGGCTGGAACTGTGCCGATCTGAAGCCACGAGCCAGGAGATTCCTCCAGGTCTCCGATGTGGATGCAGGGGCCCAAGGGCTTGGGGTCATCCTCTACTGCTTCCCCAGGCAACAGCAGAGAGCTAGATTGGAAGTGGAGCATCCATGACTTGAACCGGTACCCATGTGGGTTGCCAGCACTGCAGGCAACAGCTTTACCTGCTATGCCACAGCGCCGGCCCCTAAATTTTTTTTTAAAGCTAAGAATCAGGAACTCCTACCTGGTCTCATGTGGGTAGCAACACCTAAGTACTTGGATGATTATCTGCTTCCTCCCAGGTACATTAGCAAGAAGCTGGATTGGCAACAGAGACTAGACTCAATCCCAGACACTCTGATATGGGGTGTGGGTATCCCAAGTGATAGTCTAACCCAAGCCATGCCACAACTCCAGCCCCCACAAAAATGTTTGATTGTTATAACAGTCATAAAATTTACCATCTAATTGTTTTTAAAGTATAGACGTTATTAAATCTGTTTGATTTAGGAAAAGTATGAGGGAAAACATTTCTATGCATTATCTATCCCCATAAATGAACATAGTGTGATAAGCAAAATCAGTGGATAAGGGTGGTCAGAACTAGTGTTCATTCTAACTTGCACCAATTTGGACTATATGTGTAGGCAAGTCATTTTTTTCTGGAGATCTTTGGTAGCAGATTCCTCTTTAGTAACGTGAAGGGGATCCTATCAAGGTCTGCAGTTTTAAAGAAACCTCTTAGGGGGTTGAGTGTTTAGCCTAGTTGTTAAGATGCTGTTTGGGACACCTGCATCTTGGAGCATTTGGGTTCAAGTCCTGGCTCCACTTTTCCTCTTTGGGAGGAAGCAGTGATGGCTCAGTTAGTTGGGTCTTTGCCACCCACATGGAAGAATTGAATTGAGTTCCTAGCATCTGCAGGTGTTTGGGGAGTGAACCAGGAGATGTGAACTCTGTCTGCCTCTCAAATAAGAAAATAAAAGAGACCTCTCAAAGGGCATACTTGATTCTGGTGTATAGCTAGTGAAGATTGAAATATTCTAGGGTAGGTTTTTTTTTTTTAAGATTTATTTATATAAAAGGCTAATTACAGAAACAGGGAGAGAGATCTTCTATCTGTTGGTTTACTCCCCAAATGGCTGTAAGAACCTGGGCTGGGCACTCCCATCCAGGTCTCCCACATAGGTGGCAGGGGCCCAAGCATATGTGCCATTTTCCACTCCCTCCTAAGCTTATTAGCAAGGAGTTGGATTGGAAATGGAACAGCTGGGATTCAAACCAGCTCCTATATGGGATGCTGGCCTTGCAGGCAGAAGCTTAACCCATTATACCACAACACTGACCCTGCAAAGGTAGGTTTTAGGGTAGTCATTATATTCTGGATATGTTAACACATGGGAGGACAACCTATGAAATCGGTGACCATGTAAATGGTGTTGACTTCTAGAATTTATAATTGTATCCAATTCATTGCAGGGCCATCAGAGCAGTTTAGTGTAACCAGAAGGTAACCTGAAACACAGTGTAGTTTTTCCAGTTATGTCCATGTTTCTTTATGTAGTTGTTGCCAAGGTTTTGGGGGTGAGGAGAGACATTTGTTATTGAGCTATACTACTTTACACTGTTGATGGTGGTTTTTGTCAAATTGAGTCATTTTAATTTTTCTCTGCTTCCTAGGAAACAAGAACCTTAGCGGAGATTGCCAAAGTGGAGCTGGACAATATGCCATTACGTGGAAAGCAGCTGCGTGTGCGCTTTGCATGCCATAGTGCATCCCTTACAGTCCGAAACCTTCCTCAGTATGTGTCTAATGAGCTGCTGGAAGAAGCCTTTTCTGTTTTTGGCCAGGTGGAGAGGGCCGTGGTCATTGTGGATGATCGAGGAAGGCCCTCAGGAAAAGGCATTGTTGAGTTCTCAGGGAAGCCAGCTGCTCGGAAAGCTCTGGACAGATGCAGTGAAGGCTCCTTCCTGCTAACTACGTAAGTTGAGGGATGGTTTTCAGAAGGAGATCTTGGGTTGCTAATTTCTTCTGTGGTCTGGAAAGTTAGCCTCTATGTAGTAACTTTGTTCCTGTATTCATTTAATTGATAGTAATTAAGCTTTCTATTAGGGTTTTTGGTATGATCTTAAATTAATGGAAATGGTATGAGGGTTAAGGAAGATATCTTTTTAGCATTTCAGTAAGTTGTCAGTGTTGTTGCCTCTTACTTTGACATTTTAAAACTGAAAAGTTGTTTTGCACATGTAATACGTCTAAGTGATCACCCCTGGTCATTTCCTGAAGTTCTGTAGATATCAGGCTATACTTAACTACAGCACCTTCCTACTTTGAATATCTATTTGAGACTATATTCAGAGATATAAAGCCCCATTCCATCCTGTGGACCCCAAGTTCTCCATAATACTATTGGAAGGATTTGCTTACTTGGGATTAGGTGTAAAAACTCCTTTAGAAGTGTTTGTGCAGTCCTGACCCCTAATTCATTGTGCCAGCAGCAGATACAGAGAGGGTGCCTAGCAGGGTATGACTTCATCAACACTGATCCTACTTTTTCTCCCAGATTTCCTCGGCCTGTGACTGTGGAACCCATGGACCAGTTAGATGATGAAGAGGGACTTCCAGAGAAGCTGGTTATTAAGAACCAGCAATTTCACAAGTATGTGATCCTGATAAGAATCCCCATTAGGTGTTTTTGCCTTTTTTTTTAAGAGATTTGACAGTGTGATACCTTGTCATCCACTGATTCACTCCCCAAATGGCCACAAAAGCCAGGCCTGGGCCAGGCTGAAGCCAGGAGCCAGGAACTCATTCCGGGTCTGCCACATCATCCCCTGCCTTCCTGGGCACATTGTCAGGAAGCTGGATAGGAAGCAAAGCAGCTGGGACTCCAACCAGCATTCCGATATGATGCTGGTGTTTCAAGTAGCAGTTAACCTGCTGTGCCACACTGGCTCTGGTGTTAGTCTATTAAGAAAGCTTGTAGGGGCCGGCATCCCACTGCGCCATTTCTGATCCAGCTCTCTGCTGTGGTCCAGGAAAGGA